GCTGACCTATGTACTGTACATAGTAAAAGACTTCCAAGATAATACTGGTAATTGTAATTAATGAATGTGAGTACTATGAGTACTAAGAATGAGCGTCATAATTAATCACTGTCTTTATTTTTTTATATATTTTTTTCCACCTGTCTACTTAGTACCAAATTATTAAAAAATAATGGACTTGTGAAATACAACAAACAATGGAGATGCAGAACTACACCAACAAAACCAACAAAACACAAAAGTACAGTGTTGCCCATCGAAAATGGAGAGAGATGTTTGGATAAACCTATAACAGTAGATAAAATTAAAGACAGAAAAAGGTGACACAACTGATTTACAACAGGTTATATCAGAAAATGAGTCTTTGGTTATAGACAGCTGTTTAGATGAAATACCTCCACTAGAGTAGATTTTTAGTCTCAGTCTTTGGACAAAATTGCTTTTTTAGTTTTAGTCAAATTTCAATCATTTTTATCCTTTATAGTTTTAGTCTAGTTTTGGTCAACGACAACTCAAAAGGATTTAGTTTCATTTTAGGTCACAAAAAGTCATCACATTTTAGTCAGTATTTTTAGTCAGCCTATCTTGGATCCCTAATTTAAAACATTTTTCCAATAGGTTTCATAAGGATTTATCATCCTGCTTTCCTCTCCTCTTCTTTAAATGTTTGATAGCTCACCATTAACATTTTAGTTTCGACAAAAACGAAAACCAAACCTACATTTTGTCATAGTTTTTATTGTCAAAGAGCTTTTTTTAGCTTGTCTTTGTCATGGGAAAAGGGTCACTGACTACATTTTTCATCATAGGTTTTGTTAACGAAATAAACACTTATTTAAACCTAACTGAACCTCTTTTAACCAAGATTTAACTGGAGAAATGTTGCTTTCACATATGTTAATTTACATGCTGGGCACACACAGCTTATTTGATGTTCCTGGAGAAATCTGTGGGCCACATCTAAACCAGTGAAGACATCAGTATTCTTCTCATTTTACCTGAAAGAATTAGTTGTACTTTAACAGATAAAATAAAATAAAACACTTAAATAAGCCAAATTAGGAGGACTTTTGGACAACACCAGTGGTAGGGGCTAATTAAAGTTTTAAAAGATAAACACATTCACTTTGTTTTCTCTCAATAGACATCTAATTACATAGAAAAACCTTTCAAGTACTGTAACATCCACTCTGGTTCACCGCACAGCGTATAGGCTTGAACAACATGAAGCAGGGCGCTTGCAGGGAAGACAATAGAGCATTATTGAATAGCCAGGAGACTGCTCATCATTGGAGCCCTGATGAAATTATAAACACAGTTCAATTACACCTGGTTGTGCCATTTAGGCGAAATGAAAACGGCAGCGTTGGGCAGTGCTTGGCTCCGCAAAACAACTCTGAGGTGATACTTATGAGTGCGTATCTCCGCAAACTACTATGTAATTAAATTTAGCCCTACGGGACTCCATTAATAACTTATAATATAATGCACATTTCATTGGAGGGGGCCATAAGATGTGGGTGTGTTATTACGCTCAGGGGGGAGCAACTTGTGCGCTGTGTCTCTGCTCATAACAGTGAGTGAGAAAGTTACATAAATCAGATGAGGCCGTTTTTGTATTATGATTTCTTAATAATGGTACTTGTAATTAGTTCTTAGATATACAGAGGTTTTAATGAAGTCGACCACTTGAACATGGAAAAGTTAGCAAAGTTAATGAATCAGAGGAGAGACTGTGGAGTTTGCAGGATTATTTGCATGTTCATGTGTGTGTGTGTGTGTGTGTGTGTGTGTGCGCCTGAGGGTGAGCAGCTGACCTTTGACTATCTAGCTGAGCATTCATTAAGTTGATGGCTGACGCAGTCTTTTAGTGTGACCACTGCTTTAATTACACACAGGCTAATTGCTGGTGTCACACAGATACACACAGCCTCACACACACATACACAAACGTGCACATGTACACAGCGAAAATGATACAGCAGACTACTTTTTATCGCTTCTTTTACACTCACACTGTAACCGTCATTAAGTGAGATATTTGGCCTTCACACACCAGCAGGTCAGTGTGTGGTATCTCAATAAAAAGCCTCAGTCTTCTGATCGTAGTTTGGGATTAGACAGTCAAAGGATTTCAGAGCTGAATGCTTACAGAGAGTGGAGAGCTTTTATCAGAGCTTTGTGACGTCTGTGCTCTCTTGACACTGAACTCTCTACATCATCCCCCAGCTCACTTCAAATTCAGCTACAACACACACGCACAGACATTCAGTTTTTATCCATCTATTCATATTGAGGCTATGTCGATTAGCAGCAACCACCTCCATGTATTATCAGTAAAGGATTTGATTTGATTTTGCTTTGTCAGAAACATTTGACTCAGGTGCACTGAGGCTACTTAGAACCCAAACTCTGATTTCATAGTTTGACAGACTGAGAGCAACAAAAGAGTTCCTTGACCCTTGATCTTCCTTGACACACACACACACACACACACACACACACACACACACACAAAACTCTTCCTCAAGAATCCACATAAAGACCAGACCTCCTCCAAACATGTCACCAAGTGCTTCACATTAGGTTTCACAGTATACTGTGATAAATAAGATGATGGTTATCAAACTGTGTACGTGTGCTTATCGAGTATATTGAAAAAAAAATGCAGCTGCATGTTGAATCTCAACTTTATTTTAGTTATTTTCAAAGGGGAGACTTTTTACACAAACTGCCATTGACAAAATGGTTTCAAGTTTCAGATTTATAGTATTAAAACATTTCTTCAATCAGCAATAACCCTTCCATTTTTATTCCTTTAAGGCTCATTCTGACTGATAATAAGATCAATTTTTTATACGGTAATACAGTGAAAGAAGTATAAAAGAGATAAATGGTGGATTAACATGTGAGGACGTGTAGAATTAAAGAAACAAAGATGATTAAATCAATGAAAATGTCTAATCATATTTATGACAAAAGGCTTAACCATTTTATTTTAATTCATTTAATTTAATTTAATTTTATTTTATTTTTATTTTGTTTTCTTTATTTTATTTATTTATCAATTTTATTTCATCTCACATTATTTGAAAATGCACAGTTTGGACACAGGATTTGTTGGTCAAGAAACAAATCTTGCAATTGTCAGCTCATGCAGCCCTGGAAGCGTTGGGATTTGTTGTTGAACCGAACGTCTTGAATGTGGTATATCCCGCGTTGCATTGACATTTTTACTTAACAAAGATTAGACAGTATTTATTAATTTTTTTTCCCTCTTTGTTTTTGATCACGTCACTCTCCTTTTTCGTTTTTGATTTATGTAGTAACAACCAATGAGGTCAGTGATTAAAATATGACTTGTAGCTGTGCAGGGATATTATATATTTCTATCAACACTGATGAAGCCACATTTAGGTCAAAAATGTTACTTGATGTTCCCTAAATTGTGTTGCTTTTTTTTTAAGTCCCCATAGTGTTTATAACCCTAGAAGATGTTGTGAATGCCTTAGTTTGTTTTTGAGAATGAAACAAGTAAACCAAAATTCATACCTGCAGTTGCTGTTTACTGATTACTAGTCAAACACGTGGGCGCAGTTTGCTCCTCGCTCCTCTCCCACCCTTCCTCGCTATGTTCTCCATCTCTTTATGGAATAATGGTGGAGTCCATTGAGTGTGCGTGTGTATGTGTGTGTTTCCGGTGGTTCTTTGACAGTAAGAAAACAAATCATGTGTTCAGTAGTTACATTATTCAGCCGCTTCAGAGAGAGAGTCAAGGTCAACCTTACAGGGCTGTTTACTGTATCAGCAACCACTGCTGGCTCCTGCCGTGTGTGGGATTTATTGCTCGAGGAGAGGATGGTAAGAGCAGTACGCTGCTGTCATGGTGAAAACAAACAGACAGGTCTAAAGACTAACAACAAACTCCTTAAACTGAAAATATGTCACAGCGTTGAGGCATTTGGGTGCTTTAAAAGCTGGTAATGACCAATAAATTTCACAGTTTTATTCCCCAAATGTTTATTTTTTCCCCATAAAACATTTTACCATCGTCAGAGCTTAACGAAAATAGCCTGTATTATTAAAATGAATCCAGCATAAGAGGGATTAGTTTAATAATACACCCTATTTCCGTTTCAGTAACTTTAGCGTGGTTGATGATTAGCGCCGATCGTGACCTCACTGATTTTAATGAGCTTCAATTGCGCACAGCATTAAGCTAATAGGCTATAATTTGTAGCAATCAGCTCTCGTGAAAGGAAAAAAAAAAAAACATCATAAACACGGTTGGCCGATCGAGATCTAATCAAGCACTTCACAATAATGTTTGCAGAAAGCAGATATCTTTAAAAAGATTAGAAATAAATCCGCCCTGTTTAATGGGCTAATTGATTAGTCATCCATTTTTATGCTCCGCTACTTCCCAGGAGTATTGCGTTTGTTGACGCCACGTGGGCTGGAAGGAGACATTCGAGAAGAGGCATCGGGATGAGCTTGGAGAGCGTCTCATAACCATAATGTTTCACAACAGGAAAGTGTGCACAGAAGAAGAGAAGGTCACTTTTGCCGTGTGAAAAAAATGACAGCTCTAAACTTTGTCATTTTCAATATTTCATATCGCTCTGCATTGTCCCTGAGGGTCCTTGAAAGCTGCCCAGACCCCCCGAGAGGATTTATAAAGCACCTGGCCATCCATCTGAAAAAAGAGGCTGTTTTCCCTCCTGAATTCCCTGAGAAAGTTGGCAGTGTGAAGATGCCAGGTTTTTTATCTGTCAGCAGCAGTGTGTTGATGTGTTTTGACAATGTTGTTTGTGACTGATGGGGTCCTCTGTTGAATACATCCTGCTGTTCTGCTGCCCAAGTGATGGAGCGAAGAGTGACAACCTGGCAGATAGAACACGCCGTTTTTTGACTGGTTATTTTTCTACCCGGGACACTCCGGTGTGTGTACTAATATTTTATATCTTCTCTCACTTTTCTTGTGTGTGTGTGTGTACTAGGCCCTTCCCATCAGAAGACACAGCTCTGAACGAGGATGATGTGTACCGGAGTCTCGAGGAGCTCGCAGAGTAAGTATAAACTCCACCACAAACAAACAGACACACACTTGTTTCTGTCACTTATGAAGTTTTATTAACCTCGATTCATTCTCCGGAGTCTTCCCCTGTGTGTGTTACCCCAAATCTAACCTTTATTTAACCTAAACCTAACCCTAATCTTGAACAAAAATCAGATCTAGACACTAAAATGTAATGATATAGCATGTGGGGAGCAGCTTTTTGTCTTCAAACAGCAGGCAAGTCCCAACTGTTTGACTGTGTAAACATATTTCTATTCACACAACATGACTGCACATACACACATCATCAAGACAGGTCATTGACTATGCTAACATGCTGACTAATATTCCAGTACTATCTCTAATAAATGGCAATATTCTGATTTTGATACAGGTCATGTAAACAGCATATTTGGTTTAGATATTCCAAAGTAGGCCTTGTTTTCTGAATGGAACATTTTCTGATTAAGATATGTGGGATATGCTGATGGTGTTCGGGGTTCAGGTGCATTCTCTAGCTGAACATCGGCGCCATGTTGACTGCCATCGGCCTATCAGCAAATAATATGGAACTTTTTTCCTGTCTTTTTTCAAGAGAGTGGTATATCAATTTGAGAGCATTATTTATGATTTCACGTTCAGATTTTGTAATATTGTCCCTCAAAACCCTGTCCTTACACTCAGACAATCTCTGCTTGCACTTAGATCTACTGTGTTTCTGCTCAAACTGTGTGCTCGCACTCAGATACCATGTTGCTTGCACAGATTTCCTGCTCCAGCTTCAGCTCTTCTCCTCGTGCTCAGGCTGCTTCTATGTGCTCGTGGATTTTCTGCTCTCAGATTTCTGCCCTTCTCCTTGGATTTTTTTGTGCAACAACCCTGTCAAAATCCCCCAACCAATAGAACGCCAGGTTTATTGTTGACATGAAATTATCCCTGCCTCATTGCGGGTGCGCTCGCTTTAGTTTTAGAGCGTCCCATCCGGTTGGGTACTCTTTAACTGTGTTCATCCACTCCTGCCCTCCAGGGCTTTATTACCTCCGCCAAGGAGGTTATGTTTTCGCCAGCCTTTGTCTGTTTGTCTGCAAAATAACTCGAAAAGTTCTGAACAGATTTTGATGAAATTTTCAGGAAAGGTTGATAATGAAACGGTGCCATGTCATAATTCCAACATCCCATTATTTCGACATCCCATTATTCTGAAAATTACCCATTGTTCCGACATCCCATTGGTCTGACCATATTAAACCCATTGTTCTAAAGTCCCATTGTTCCAAAATCTCAATGTTGCAATGCAAAAAGTTGAAAAAACAAGCAGCAAGGGAAAGCAGCAAGAGACCGTGTTGTCATGTTGTTTACTGTTGCCCTGACGACAACGGTCGCCCTGTTTTGAGGAAGTAGCCCAAACCATGATCTTTTCCTAACCTTAACCAAGTAGTTCTTGTGCCTAAACCTAACCAGACCTCAACCATGAAACAGTTATTTTGTAACAATGAAAAATTAGATTTCGGAACAACAGGACTTCGTAACAATGGGTTTAATATGGTCGGAACAATGGGGTATCGAAACATTGAAATTTCGGAACAGTGGGTCATTTTCGGAACAATGGGATGTCGGAATAATGGGATGTTGGAATTATGAGCGGACCCCAATGGAACAAGGAACAGATGATGAAATTTTGGTGGTGATCGGTTGAAGAGGAGTGGATAAAATAATAAAATGGCGGGAAATCCGAGCTGCTTGGCGGAGGTCTGCACTCTCCGAGTGCTCTAGTTAAATGTTCTTCCCTTGCTTTCTTTACAACTTTTGGAATAAAGGGACTGTTAATTGAACCCGGTTAACAAGTACCCGCCCGGACGGCACGCCGGAGTTCTGTTGGTTGGGGGATTTTGACAGGGTTGTTACACAAAAAAATCCAAGAGCAGGGCAGAAATCTGAGAGCAGAAATTCCACGAGCGCACAGAAGCAGCTTGAGTGCGAGGAGAAGAGCTGAAGCTGGAGCAGGAAATCTGTGCAAGCAACATGGTATCTGGGTGCGAGCAGAAACAGAGTTGATCTACGCTCAAGCAGAGATTGTTTGAGTGTGAGGACAGGGTTTTGAGGAGCAATATTACAAAATCTGAGCGTGAAATCAATAAATAATGCTCTCAAACTGATAAACCACTCTCTTGAATAAAGATAAGAAAAAAGCTCCATACAAATAAGACGACACTTACGGGTGGCAGCGGCTGATGTTTTCCCATTGTGTCAAATAAATTTTGCACAGGCTAAAAAGCAGGGCTCGAAGCTGTGGCCCACAAACCTTAATTAATGAACAGGTACAAGAAGAATGCAGTGACTGTTTGGCAAATGGGTTCTGTGATGTCACTGTTGTGTGATGAGACGGCAAATAGCAGCCAGTGTCCTGTCATCCCAGGGATTTACCTTCAGACAGACGACACAGGATGCCCAGATTTAAAGTCTTATTAAAAATGAATTTTGCGCCAACCTCAATTAAGGGGTTGTGTTGTGTTTGTTTACAGTATGATGCTCTGTTGGTGTTGCGTGCAGTGCTGTTATGTGTAGTATGTGTTTTTATGGTGTATGCTTTATCTCCTTTGGACTATTATTGTGAGGTAGCAATACTTGTGCAGCCCCTGAGTCCAAGACAAATTTCCTTACGGGGACAGTGAAGTGTATCATATTGTTTTGTGTCGTATACAAAAGAAATTGTGTTTGACAAAAGGACACTGTAAAGTCACTACTGTCGAGCCAGAGGACGCGCTCTGTTGTTTCCCTGATACTGCTACATTAAAATCATTGTTAAAATTGGGAAGAGGACAGCTAGTTATCGTTAGCTGTTAGCAGCCGGTGGCCGCAACTAACAGCTCACAGAGGTTGCATTGAGTTGCATCATGATGCATTCAAGCTCTGTTCAGTAAAAATGAGTATTGAGCAAAGGTAAATTAGAACGTTTTCATGGAGTGTTCAATGTTATCTTGTTAAACTTGAATAAATACAGCTGTTTGAAGGAGAAAATCGTTGATGTTTTTACAGCAATATTAAATAGATATTAGAGAAGGAATTATTAGATATTATATGTAGTAAAAAGCAGCTTCAGCCGTTCCACTTTTCCATATTTTGACATGATAAACGTCATGTTAGGGCAGGTTAATCTGTGTATGCATGCTGCATGTAAACGGGACTATTAGTGGAATATTCAATTTCATGAGCCATGTTAACAGCTTAGTTGTCTTTTTAGGAATAAAGGCAAAAACTGGAATATTTGCTGCATGTAGTCTTTCAGTTGATAATTTTTAGCTATTGTCATGTAACATTGAGGTTTAAACATATTTCTATCCACATTTGAAGGAAATAAATTGTTTCCTGCTGCAAAAGGACATTTTTTATTGCATTTTAGCAGAGAAAATGCCTTTAAACTTTATTATTGACATTTTATATCTAGTTTTAACTGTGTTTCATAGTCAAAATAAATACATATGAACTGCTTTACATATTAATAAGTGTATCTAAATACATAACAATTCTCTACTCATCATGTATATAACACACATCCTGCGATGTTTCAAGTGTGATTGCCACTTCTTCCAATTTTCCCTAACTGCCTAATTACATAAGCGTGCAGCCCCATGTCACTCTGCCCGTTGCCATGGTTACACCAGCTCTGCTCTGGCTTCTTTTGCGGCTGCCTCTGTGGCTGCCTGCCTGGTTTGGTGTGTGTTGGATGGGTGGCTTTTTTGCTGGGTGTGAAGGAAAGTCGCAGGGTCTCGGAGTTGGCAGCGGTTCCAGCAGTGACAGCAGCCACTCGACTCAGATTAATGGAGAGTAATTAGTTAACGGCTCTGAGATGGGTGACATTCATCACAGAGAGATGGGGAGGAGGGAGAGCGGGAGATAAAAAAGAGAGCATGCGGGCTATAGATACATGCCCGCTGAATACATGATTGTGATGTTCTTTAGGGGATGAGGTATATGCTGTTGCTAGAGGAGAGGGGTGCCAGGCCAAGCAGGCTAATGCTGGATTAGAGTGCTGGTAGTCAAACATACTGCCCTGCAAGCTTGGAGCACGGGCCTTACCTTGGAAACTGAACTGCATGCTGCACAAAAAGTGATTGTGAAGAGAGTAGATGAAATACTGAAAACATGTTCATTAAAAGATTTCATTTAGAAAAAAAAGTGCTCATATAAAGAACAGAACATACAGTAGGCTCCTGTTTTACATCATGTGCTCTGAGGACTAGTATTTGCAAGTATTTGCATCTTTCTACTGCTCAGACAGCCTTGTTTTATGGAAAAAATGTCTTTCAAGCGGTAGAAAACTTCTTTCAATTTAATTACTTTTGAAAGTGGCTGTAGCGAGTGCACAGCAGCAAGTGTCACCAAGTCCACCAGTAGAGCAAGGAAGCATGAGAGTAATCTTGTGATGCATGTTCTATACCATATTATTTCTACAGCTGGTGGTTGTGTCTATAATTTGCCTCAAACCTCAAATCTCCCCTTTCCATTAATGGGTTTTGGCCCCTGTAACTGTGGTAGTAGCTTCCGTGAGCTTGAAGCTTGAGTTCATCACTTTTTTTTTCCTGAAATGGTCATCGGTGTTGTAACACAGTGCTCTTTGTGTAACCTGTAGGTGCATAAGGCTGGCTCTTATTGAATTAATCATGCCGCTCAGCAGCACGGCTGCTCTTGACCTTTTACAAAGAACATGCATACATTTCGTTTCATCAGTGGACAGACGCATAATTGATTCATCAGCAGGTCCTGCACCTAATACAGTTGGACACACTTAGCACATAGGCCACACTAGCAATAACCCTGTTCTCAAAGACTTATTAATTGGCCTGAAATATTGATGCATGCATAATTTAAAACGGGTGCATGACTGAACTGCATGAGTGAGGGGAAGGACAGCGATGATCTTACCACAGTAATAATAGTGAGTTTTTATGGACGTAGTTATTTTTAAGAGTATCCCAGAGGAAGAAAATAATACAATGACAGGACATATGG